AATTTTACATAACGGTTGAGCACCATTACGATCATTATCTAATTAATTGAGTGTGCTACTTGAGAACACCCTAAGTCGTACTTAACCAAAATGACAAAGATTGGATACTACGTTCTTCTCTGTTGCCGTTCGCCACTTTTAATTATTTTATTATTGGCGTTTCTTTGCTTTTATTTTTTCTGGGGCATCTTACTTAGTCCAATTTTGTTAGCTATATTTCTAGTATCATTTACGTATTTTGGATATAAGTGGATAAGGTACATTCGTCATTTTTCAAATTGACAAATCCTGATACTTACAAGATATTTCTTAGGAAAGCCTACTTCAGTGTAGAAATGAGATTTCCACCAGAATTTTCCGAAGAAACAAAAAAACAAGTTGCTTTATGGGTGACATTATTCAAAATAAACATAAGAATGATGACGATGAAATTTTTTGCAATGACCCTTTATTAATAATCGAATATAATCAACCAGGACTAATAAGTCGAAATATCACAGAAGTTAATGTTGCCAATGGTATAGCCATAAATATTATTATATGGTCTATTTCAAAAAAAAGCTTTTTTTTTAACTTAATTTTCTGGATTAGTAATTAGAGGAACTCAATTCTACGTTCCTATCGCATGCCCAAATCAACACCTGCAACAATCAAATTCTGTATTCGCATTTAACAGTATGCAAGTATTAGATGAAGCTATCAGAGATTTATTTAATAATTATAATAACCTTGTGACAGGGCGAAATGATCCTATTGTTGGACGAGTGTATTTGTTAGAATTTTGCAGGGCCAACACATTTGAAGTTTCTGAAAAATTTCGTGTGTTTGATTGATATAATCATCGCTTGCTTAAATGGCTAATGATATATTATAATATTAAAATAGGGAGAAATTCTACAAATCTTTGTTAATAAAATAACTGCAAACTGAATTATTTTCGCGAAACATATCGGATATGTTTACTGGAAAAAAAATTACCCGATTAATAAAGCAGAAGTATTTAAAAAGTTTCAAGTTTACTTAATAAGACCCAACTCTCGAGAATAACTATATATGGGTCTTCATAATACCAAATATACCTTAGTACAATCCAGTTCTTTTTGCATAATTCTTTCTTAAGTTGATCCCGCTCTTACTGTCGGACAAAATTACTGGGATCTCCTTTTTGAAAAAATTCGTTATATCTTTCATGCTGTTGCCCTTGTACTTCGATTGCGAAATCATAATTATAATATGGAACATAAAGTTGTAGTCCTGTATTCTAGTTGGATATTCAGGTGTTTTTAAAAAATCTGGTTTACGATTCTCAGATGGTGGTCCATGATACTTGGTTGACTGTGCCAACTTTAACTCCGTAATTGATTGGTAATTGAGTAAGTTAATTGTACTCGCTTAAGGTAAGTATGACTAATTGCTATAATTGGCAGTGGCACGGGTTTTAGACGCGTCAACGTATAGCTGAGGAATGTTATTTAAAGGTGCCGAGTAATACTGAGTTGAAGGTGGGTTTTATTATTTGCTTTATATCTTATATCATGCTGCTTTTAAATAAAAATGTCACAATCGACTTTTGTTGTAAGTGGAGGCTCTCATGCTCCGGAATACAGTAAAGAAGAAGCTGTTGATTTAATTTGTAAGTTAGTAGGTTCAGGACATAGGACGTTCTTTACAAATTTATTGGATGACGCATCGAGTAAATTCTATAATCCATCTTATGATCTTTATAAATCTTTGCCTAAGAATACAAAAAAAAGTTCGTAAACTCGCTCTTATGTATGCAAAAAGACCGAAACGGCGGTGCGATACAGCGGCATCTCATATGAGTGAATACTTTATTTTAGAACTATTTTATCTCATCTTTATTTAAAGCCTTCAGCTTTAAAGTTTGGATCACAAACTACTTCAAAAATTTCTAGCATAATTTGGAGATGCATTTCCAATTGCATCAAAGCAAATTACCGTTCTACTGTATTTGTGCAACTGTGAAAGAGGAAGAAATTAAAAAAGAGCGCACGACATACTCGACTCACTTGTCTGGTAGCTCTTCTCGGCAAATTACTTTGCCTATCATCAAAGCTTTAAAACTAATATGTAACTATTGTGATAAGCAGCATATAAAGTGTTCAAAAGAAGAAAGTTGTAGAACTAGGTATCAAATGTTCCTATAACCTTAACAAATTGCAAAATAGATCGCAGAAAATATATGATTGTGAATAAAGCCGTTTCTATTGCTATAACATCTGCTCTAGAACAAACCGGGTGGTTGTTAATACTCTGCCATCACATTCATGTCTAAGCGAAACCCCAACAGATACAGTTATTAGTTCTAAAATGTTATCATAGACATTAATTTGAACCAACAACAACAGCATCATCCAAACCAAGACCAAAATCAAGTTGTGGGATCAAAAAGAGCTAAAAAAACCTTACGAAATTTGTCCGACTCAATCCAAGAAAGAGAGTGAAAATAAGCAGCAAATGCACCCAGTGGAAATGGCAAAGAGACCAAGTTAATATTCGAAATGGCTATTTCCTTAGAAGTAAGAGATAAAACCACAAGAAATGCTTCGGAGCCAGACTTCCTCACTGTTAGCGAATAAATCAACGATATTGTAACTGACAACAACAACAACAACACTGCTTTATCATTTGTTTCTTGTCACTCCGTATGTAAATTATCATGCTCAATATCCATCTGCTGATACACTTATCGACGATACTCAATATTTTTGTGATATGAACCAAGAAATCCTCCTGTCCGACTTTGAAACAGATACAACTGCACCAATCAATATGTCTCCTCCTCCCGCAAATACTAATATCCAGACCTCCCCAGGATGTCAAGATCATGTTCCTCAATTGCTACCTAATGGATGCTTTGCAGCCTGCTATCAGTATGCCTAAAGCAAATTCAGCAGTCATCTCCTCGGCTCCTCAATTACCTAGCTTTGCTCCCTTTTTGATTCTTCGCAATTACTTGCAACTCAGGAATATATTTAATGGGAACCAATAATTGGTACTCGTGAAGCCATGCGTCAATGGGATGCTATTAGATAAAAGCCGAACCCAAACGCCACTAGTTCCTTAATTCATGTTCAACTTCCCTCTAATAACTTGCTTAACTATAATGTGCATCAACTACTACTCTAGACCCTCAATCAGGGTTGGCATTGGACAATGTCCAAATAAATTTAATTGGACAATTGGACATTTGAACGTAGTCAAAATGTCCAAATAATTTTTTGCGCCTTCAGGCATTGGACAACGTCCAAATAAATTGTTAAGATTATTGGACAAATGTCCAATTGTCCAATAATTTTATTGGGCAATTTTAATAATATGACGACAAAAGCTTTATTGCTTTTAACTACAATAATGAGGTTTACCAATTTTATTTTTATTTCTTATAACCTTTTTTTACTCTTTAATTTACAATGATAATTTATTAATGAATGTTTCTAATTCAAAGTGACGACCTTGGCTAATTTATTTTATTTGGTGTGCTTTCTTTATAATATATGCCTTTATTTAAAATTAAAATCAACTGTTGTCATTATTCCTTTTGAAATACAAATCATTTTACAGTTTCTAACATCCTATTTGATTAATCATATTTTACTAGGGCAATATCAAATATATATTTAAACTTGTATGTACATATATAAACATGTTGTAAGTAAAATGGAATTTAAGTTGATTCAATAGTGTGAATACGTACGTACGAATGCATATTTTATAATAATAATGATTATTATTATTATCAGTATACTTTTTAAATATGCTATAAATTAGAGATATTTTGTATTGGCGAATATTGGCCCGAATTAAGTTTAATTTAAGCCAAGAGTAAATAAATTTTTTTTTAATGTCCAATAAAATTATTTGGACAATTGGACATTGTCCAATGTCCAAATTGTCCAAATGTCCAATATCGTAACATGCCATCCCTGATTTGCGTAAATCCAATATCAATAAAAACTTTGTTACAGAATTGCTGACGTTACAAGTTGATTCAGCCAGACCTTTGATATGAACAGAAATATCGCTCAGGTACAAATTAATTTGTTCATAAAGACTGCTTGCTATATGAGATAATCGATAAGTACAAAGCAACCAACAACCACTTTTGCATTTAGTACAATACGCAGGGACAAAGTAGATTAATTCAATGCCCATTGTATATATATTAATATAATACCTTAGCTGGACTAAAATATAACCAGCATCTTTTCTGATCTTTAATTTCAACCGATTATTAATAACCTTTTCCATTAACGGTCGCCGATGTTGGAGTGTCAACCTTATGAAACGCTGCATGTTCCTTATGAGCTAAGTAAAAAAGATAATGTAAAAACAATAAGTTATTACGTAACTTTTCAAAAGACAAGATTATTCTTACCTTTATAATAAGGGCTTTGCAATTCAATGGAACCTAGCGTCTCCTTTATTTTTTCCATTATCTTTGCTTCTTCATTTACAGCAGAATTTTTGTTCCAAATATTAAATATGTCAGAGTTATATCTTGAAGATACAGTTAAACCATAAATATCATCATCTACCAAATAAGAGGACCGGTCAGGTTAAAATTAAGCAAATGTAATAAATCAACTTACAATACTAATATAGAAAGTCGGATACCTTTTGAAACACAGTCCTCAAACTGTTCCCCGATCAACATCATGAGCAACTCCCTCCACACTGTAACAGTATTTGCTTTGCTCACACGAAAAGACCATGCACCACCATTTTCATTACGAGGATCCTCCCTAATGTTTGTAAAGAATAATTGATTTCTTATTAATGTACTGTTTTTGAGAATAATGATAAATATTATAACAACTTACCATGCTGGATGTATGTCTGATTTCATGAAGTGGAGTGCACACCTTACTGCGAGTTTATCTGGGCCAATAATATTATTATATACATGCCAGAAATTCTAGATCGAGTAATTTATTTGATTATTAAAATTAGAACAAGCGTATATTACCCACACACAATGTGTGAATCGGTTCCATACAAACCTGAACGGTAGATACCGCAGCAACTTTTTTTAAATTCTCTTCGTACTCCTCTAAGTAATTTATACATGAAAAGATCAATCACCTCCGTTATATAGTTATGTAATTAATATAATTTAAAGATTTTCTTACTAGGTGTGGCATTCGCAACGTGTCTTTATTTGTGATAATGTTGAATTATTTAATTTGAATATTCAATATTAAAAAGATATAACACACAAAAATGAGTGACTGTCTCAAGACTTGTTTCAATACATTTCACGATTCAAAATAGAGAAAATTTGAACATGACTCACTGGAAGAGATAAAATGTCCACTTGTTTGCCAACGGATGTGGATTTGAAGTTTTTATACTTTCTTCTAATTTCTTTTGTCGATCGGAATCTAATGAGCCATCACTAGTTGAAAAGTAGGACATTTCTTCACTGAGATCGCTATTATTTAAGTTTTGAGAGGAACTGGCTCTCCAAGAACCATTAGTATTTCGTGCATTTGTTACAGACCGTGTTGATGCCGGTAAAGTAGTCGCATTTGTGTCAGAAGACATGATCGCTTAAGAAACTTGGTGTACGCTTAATGTCTTTATTATATTTATGACTATTTTCAACTTCTTGCTTTATATATATATGTGAATGAAAACTGATAGAAGCTAAAGATTTTGTGTCAAAAATGACCCTTTTTATATGAAATACTTATATTTCTAAATAAAGTCAAATTTTAGGAAAATACTACGTATATAGCAGGTAATTAGTGCTTCGTTACTTAATCATTTCATCATCATCCTAATTATAGAGGAGAGGCTCGGCCGGCTTGTATAATAAATAATGATAAAAACTGATTAATTTATAGCCAATTATAAGTACACCCGGATAGAGTGATTAGGATTAATAAGAGCATACAAACTCATGTGTCTATAACGTTAAGAACGTTAAGAAAATTGTATCCCGTGGTGGTACAAATATTTTTTAAATTAAAAATAGATTTTCCTGGCACGGCTCATTTTGACTGATCATAAGACTTTTATTAACTCTTAAAGTAGAAGGAATAATCGCGTAATAGCAAATCCGAATTGAGACAAATTAAAACAGATTGCTTTGTTACGTATACGTATTACTTTTATATTTACCGTTGTTAATTTTCTCCAGTTACAAATTACAGAATCATACATATATACGTAGTCAAAACAGACTAAGAAAAATTACACTTTACTATATTTAGAAATTCTATTTCGACCCGGGTGTACCTTTAACTATTCTAATCTTGGGTCGAAATAGAATGAATTTTGCTGTATATACTTATTTATTTATTTAGTAAATTGCTAATATATGATACTGTATGTACTGTATTAGTTTATTTGTTATTAATTTAAGCCTAATTTTTTGATACACTTTAAAAAAAATATTTAATATTGTTAGCTGAGTTTTATTATTAATCTATTTTAATTATTTTAATTACTTTGTAGTTATTATCAAAAACAATATCATTATTGTCTATAGTACTTTTGTTATTATTAAAAAAATATTATTAAAAACAATATTATTATTTATGATATTTGCTAAAAACAATATTACAGTAATATTTTAATAAGTATTATTATTATTTAATTTAGCAGTTAGAAATTGGTTTATAATTTTAATAAAGATTATATAGTAGAATAGAAATAGTAAAGAAAAGCTTTATAAAAATATAAAGATACTAGACTAGAAATATAAGATCAGAGGATTTAAATAGATAATTTTAGTTTAGATTGCAGGTTAAGCAACTAGTATAGACAGTACTAAATAACCAAGTGAGTTACCATTCCGATAAATAAATTAGTGAGACACAACCGATCTTTTTTTTCAAAAATTTACCATTGATAAAGGTCGCTCAAGCATTACTTTTACATTTTTTACATATCAAACATAATAAACAATTAATTTTCACCAAATTTCTATGTAGCCGGTCTAAAAAGATTTTTAATGTTCGAAGCTTTTAAACAACTAATCGATACATTAATATGAGCGTAATAAATATAGCAATCTTTTAAACATAATGAATACTGTTATTCTGTTTTTCACTCATTTAAATTTAAAATCTTCTCAGTAAAGAAGACCTAAAACTGAAGGTTTGGGTAGATTTTTTCCATATTTGACAGATGGTAAAAAAAATCAAATCATTAAAAGGAGGAGCCGACGTAACTAAAGTTGAAACTTTAACAGTTTAGATAGTACGTATAGCGAACATTATGAAAAACAAAAAAAGTGTACTCAAGCATTTAATTCTATAAATATTGTTATCAATTGTGATGCTTGAGTGTCATAACTATTATTATCTGATAAATTGATTTAGATGCTTGAGAACAACCTTAAACCGGTTAGAAATTTGTTGAGAATTAATTATTTAATATGTAAAAAATGTAAAAGCATTGCTTGAGCGACCTTTATCAATGGTAAAGTTTGAAAAAAAAGGTGGGTTTTGCCTCACTAATTTGTTTTATTCAATTTTGACTAATTAAAAAATTTACTTCCGATCCATTAAGTAAGGTGCTTGAGAACACCTTTAGTCTGGGTATAAAGAATATTGATTAATCGAAACTGGATAATTATTTATATATATTCTAGAAACTACTACGTACATAGTATCATTTATTCTGGAATTTCTGGAATTGTGTACTATAATTAGAGATGGGAAAAATGCGCATTTTGAACCATGTTTTGTGCACTATGCGCACTATGCGCATGATTGGGCTCTGCATGGTAAAATTACATCATATATTCATACGGTTGTTAGCTTACATATAAGTTTCTATAACTTACATTATAACTTAGCTAACCTACTGTAAATTATATGAGCTTTATACAAGTTACTGTAAGTTACTGTAATTAACATGTAAGTTACTATAACTTACACTATAACTTACTTTAACTTATATAACCTTTATTTAAGTGTAATTTACCATGTAAATTACAGTTTTACCAATCCTAATTACAACTTGTTAAAGCTTAATTAAATATATGTAATAAAAAATATTTTGCTTTAAAGTTTAAATAATGTACAGTATGTCAGATAAATATCGGATTTGTATAGTTAATAAAATAAGCGTATATAGTATGTTATATAAAAAAATACTTTAGACGAAAGAAACTTCAATGCTATTCAATATTACATTTCATAAACATAATAATAGATTTTAAAATGTATATTCATAATGATAACTAATCAGCAATAAAGATCGTTACTAAGCTAATAACTAATATACATTTATAATCGTAAGAAAAAAAATTGCAGAATTACATGTGCTAAAGTTATAGATTATGTATTAACATTGTTATTTATTTCTTCGCTATCTGTGTCTTCACTGTCTGTGTCTTCACTATCTGTGTCTTCGCTATCAATGTCTTCATTATTAGCTTCCTCAAAATTTGAATAATTTTCAAGTGATTCTTCATTTTTTTTCTCTATTAATATTTCGTCATATGAGTCATTTAAGTCATCATCTATTGGATCTAATAGTTCAGTATCTCAATTGAGATTGCCCATTGTTAAACCTAATTATAGCTTTTGCTGTATCGGAAAATTTTTGTTGTGGACGAGTAAGTTTGTAATTACTATATATATATACTAACTTGAATAATCGTTCTTTTGTTAACCGTGCTCTTTTTTTATCTTGAATATATGAAAATGTTGACCAATTACATTCGGAGGCTGCTGATGATGAGGGAATTAAGAGGATTCTAACTGCAACTTCACATAACTCAGGTGCTGACTTTTTAAAATTTCCTTTCCACCAAACAGTAGGATCAATATTATTAACAGTATTCCATACTAGCTCAAGTTCAAAAATACCAGAGTAGGGCGAAAAAGGGAGTTCTGGGTCACTTTTTTTACACCTCTATATGACTTGTATACCAAATTGTGCTTTCAAGTCATTCCTGCTATATTTTATATCATTTTTATATACTTTAGCTTGGTGTAATTTTTTACATAGCTAGAATCCTTTATTTTTTATTTATATAGCTAAATTGAATGACGACTAAAAAATAAATTCCACATCACTCAATATCAATATACTAGATACTATTATAAGGCTTTCTTCTTATCTAAACATTTCATAACATAATATCCTTTAGCATGTTTTTACATGTTCTAGGCTCAGCACTAGTTGGTTTACTACAAACTTTACAAGGTTAATGCATTTTAGATTTCCAATGATCAAAGCATCCTTCAGGACGTAGACAACCACGTTCACAAACTTTACCAGAGTTATGTAAATAATTACAAGTATATTCACCTATCATGGTATATAAATATAAAAATTTTAATTTAAACAAAAGATCTGGTATATTAATACAAACAATGGTATATCAGCACTCATATACAATGAACACACAAATTCAAATAACTGAAACCAAACCTACATACCAAGAAGTAGAGCAAGCTTTAATTAATGTAGTTAAAGCAGGGCTCTATTATAGAAAGCCAAAAGATGACAAGTTCATGCAAAACTATAAAGAAAGAATTAGAAAATTATATCAAGCAGAAGACCCAGAAAAATATATACTAAAATTGGCTATAACAATATTATCTAATGAAGACAAATATAATAAAATTACAAATGATTACAAAGAAT